AAAAAAAAACATTTGAATACATATCTTAGGGTTCATTTCCCTAACATTAACTGTGTTTATTAATGAAGAAAATACAACAAATATGCATATTTGTAGATTGAATTAGAAGGATTTTACACTCTTGGGAGAAATGTACCAATTAAGAAATAGCAGAAGACTGTCAAGCCAAGCCTTTACATTATTAAATTCAATGAAAAACAATGGACAGTTGAGTATATGAAGCCTACTCAGTGGAACATCATTAAGGTATTTGAACTGGACTGGTTTTGATTTCAGAGTACTGAGTCCAGATTGTTTGTGTTCCTGAGGTTTTTTTTCGTTTTGTTTTGTTTTTTTTTTGGGGGGGGGGCGGTGTTTGCCGGTTGTGGGGCCTGAACTCTGGGCCTGGGCACTGTCCCTCAGCTCTTCAGCTCAAGGTTAGCCTTCTACCACTTGAGCCACAGCACCACTTCTGGCTTTTTCTGCTTATGTGGTGCTGAAGAATCGAACCCAGGGCCTCATGCATACAAAGCAAGCACTCTACCACTGAGCCACCTTCCCAGCCCTGGTCCTGAGGTTTGAACTCCCCACCTTGACAGTTGCTAGGCAGGCACTCAAGCTCATGAGCTCTTGTTTGTTTTTGTTTCTTTGTCATTCTCTAGTCCCCAGTTCAGGAACAAATAATTAACCAGAGATACTGAGTGCATATAATTGGCGCACTCAGATGGCTGAGCCAGAATAACCACTGGGAGGCCAGCTTGGGCTACATAATGAGGTCTAGACCAGCCTGGGCTACATATAAAAATATTTTTAAATTAAAAAAAATAATTTGCACACTTGATGTCATCCTTAGAAGTGACAGGGGAAGTGGTGCTGTGGCTCAAATGGTAGAGTGCTAGCCTTGAGCTGAAGAGCTCTGGGACAGCATCCAGGCCCAACTGACCCTCCTCCCTCAAAAAAAAGTGACAGTGGGACATATTTGCCCATTTAAATTTTTTGTAAGTAAATGTTTCAGTCCCTGTAGAGCTGTCAGGCTAAGAGCATTTAGAGGACATCAGAATCAAAGCTTATGGCAAATCCCCCACTCACTCAGGTACAGGCATTTTAACTCCAGCATACTGCATGCTGTTAGAACTAGAATCACTTCAGCTGCTGGCAACCAAAGATAATGATGTAGTTTAATAGTGTGTATATAAAAGACAAAAAGGCTGTTGTAGCTGAAAATTAAATTATGTAATTAAACTTAGAAAAAAGTTTATTCTTAAGTTTCAGAGAAGATAAGGTAATTATCAGATCATAGCTAAAATATCACATTTGTCTCTGTATAACATACTTTAAGAAGAACCCTATCTCCAATAAACCACCAGAAAACCCGGAAGTGATGCTCTAGCTCAAGTGGTAGAGCGCTCGCCTTGAGCTGAAGAGCTGAGGGACAGCACTCAGACCCAGAGTTCAAGCCCCCGACCGAAAAATAAAAAAAAGAACATTGACCAGCAATTGAATATCAGCTGAAGCACAAGTAGACTAGAGCTAAATCTCAAAAGTACAATGCTAGATGGAGAACAATAGAAGGATCAGGAGATTTATGAAGCTTGCCAGTTGTTTTTCAATATCTAAAGGACCACAATTTGGCAGGAAATGTTTTTGTTTTAAACATAAAAAGAGAACTAAGAGGCCATGCCCCAGTGGCTCACCCCTGTAATCCTAGCTACTCAGGAGGCTGAGTTCTGGGGATCATAGTTCAAAGTCAGCCCAGGCAGAGAAATCTGTGAGACTCTTATCTCCAGAAAACCAGAAATTGTGCTGTGGCTCAAATGATAGAGCACTAACCTTGAGCTGAAGAGCTGAGAAACAGGGCTCAGGCTCAGAGTTCAAGCCGCACAACTGACAATAAAACGAAATAAAAAAAAAACCTTTATTAATCTAAAAGTAATCTTTTCACTATAGGTTATGGCCATTGCACCAACTCATTATATCTGGCAACGAGAACGCTCTGTGCATCACAGTGGAGCTGTTAGAAACTACAACAGAGATGAAGTTCAACTGCCCCGGGGACCCAGTGCCACACCCGTGGATTGTTCACTCTGTGGTAAAAAAGGAAGATATGTGAGACTAGGATTGTCTTCATCCTCATCCTCATCCAGCGATACAGTATTAATGATGGAAAAACAATCTCAGGACTCACACGGTTCATTTTCAATGGACATAATAAGTGAACCATCTCAAGCTTATAACTATTCTCAAGGTATGATTCAGTGATAAAACGTAATTAAATTTATACATTATTTATTGAGCTCTAGTCAGGCATTACAGCTAGGAATATATAATGATTTATATACTGTATCACTAAGTTAAATTAGTATTGGAGTTTTCCCCCCTTTTGGTCACTTTTTTCTCTATATCTTTACCAGTTTTATGTCAGCTACATAAACCAAGAGGATTTTTATATGATATGTTAAATTGAAACGTAATACACATGAAGCTTACATATTAGAGCTTGAACCATTTCTTTGAAATGTTTATTTTACTCAAAAGGTATTCCAAGTAAAAAAAAATAAATGTACTTATAACCTTATTATCCAACTATTGGTTTCCTTCTATATAGTTTTTTATTGCTAACACAATAAGACCCATATTACATGTAGACCAGCTTTTTTTTTTTTTTAACTTTTTTTCTTGTCGGTCGTGGGGCTTGAACCCTGGGCCTAGGCACTGTCCCTCAGCTCTTCAGCTCAAAGGGACCATTCTACCGCTTGAGCCACAGCGTCACTTCTGGTTTTCTAGTGGCTTATTGGAGATAAGAGTCTCACAGACTTTTCCTGCCTGGGCTAGTTTTGAACCATGATCCTCAGATCTCAGCCTTCTGAGTAGCTAGGATTACAGGTGTGAGCCACTGGTGCCAGGCTAGAACAACTTTTATTCATTTATAATAAAGCATTTTTCCATGTCTTAGTCTTAGAAAACCTTATCCTGACATAAATGGCATAATTTATTTGCATTTTTAATTTATTTTTTGGGGGATTTAAGTACTTCGATATATGAAAAAGCAATTTTATTATATAATTTAAAAGTATATTAACAACACTGGAAACTTTAAGTTATTTTATATAGATTATTTCTTTTCTGGATTTGAAAGAAGACTAGAATAATATTCTACCATTGTGATCCTTTTTACTTTATAGTCTTGAGATCTTTATCTGTTTGAAGAGTAGGACATCTAAAGATCAATTTCTTGTGGTTCTTTCTATCATGAGAAATTAATAGACCTGCATTATTTCAGAATTTCATTGATTAAATTTTACTATGTCCCTATGAGAGTAAGTAAAGCATCCAGAAAAATGAAGAGAGAGGGTAAAGTAATATTTGAACCCAGGTCTCTTGACTATAGATTGAGCTTGAATTCCTACTATAATTATTATATTTTACTGGTCCTTTGATGGAATCCTCTTTTTTAAATTATTTTTCTTTCCCTATAAATGAAGCAGACTGTCAGGTGCTAGCATTAGGCTCCTTGAATGACAACTGGAATCCTCTTTTTAGCAGTGAAAATAAGCTTCAGAAGACCTGACCCAGGCAATGGTGGTTCACGCCTGGAATTCTAGCTACTCAGGAGGCTGAGATCTGAGGATCACGGTTCAAAGCCAGTCCAGGCAGAAAAGTCTGTGAGATTCTTGTCTCTAATTAATCACACACACAAAAAAAGCTAGAAGTGGAGTTGTGGCTCACGTGGTAATACACTAGCTTTGACCAAAAGAAGCTCAGGGACAGTGCCCATGCCCTCAGTTCAAGCCTCAGGCGGGCACACACAAAAAAAGTGCTTCAGGAGAAGCCTTTTAGCAGACTGCTAAAGATGTGCTTAAAAAATATAGTAAGAACTAAGGGTTGAAGGGTTATATGGAGTAAGAACTAAGGCTGAAGGGTTATATGGAGTAAGCTGACAGTGAATTTCAAAAACTTAAAAAGATATTTACATAAAGAACAGAAACAACTGTGTTTTATTCATATTAGCCCCTGTAGCTGTCAACCATAATATACACTTTAGTCTATCTTGATATATAACCTTGGAGTAAAGGCTCTGCTAGTCAGTGTTTCTTTGAGCAAAACAAAAAAACAAAACAGTCTTTGAAAGACTGTGGATGAAAGTACAATATCAACTTAGGGAATCTATAGAAGGAACTGGGCTTTCATCTTGCTCCTGAATAAAATTCCAGTTTACAGTTTACAGGTCCTGTGTAGGAAGAAACAAATATTTATTCATTATTGCATCATTCTGAGTATTAACATTAGTTATACCTTCAATGATGGCAGAGTTTGGGCAATACAAAAAAATTATTGCTTACACACATATTAAACCAGTAAGTCTACATACATTTTCAGAGAGAGCTACATACATTTTCAGAGAAGGTCACATGGTATGACCAAAAGCAGGGGCAAGCATTCTAATAGTAGCCTATTGGTAAAATTTTCTTCCTATAGGCTATATAAGGTTAGAGTTAAAAAAACAAAAACAAAGGTTAGAGTCACAGAAAATTTAATCCAGCATTCCGCAAGAGGAAAACGAAGAGCTGATGCTTTGCCTTGGCGTTTTATGCTAAAATGCACAGATAGTTTTCAAAGACCCCACATTTCTTTCAAAAAGCAAAGTCCTGATTTTCAAGTAAAAGCATAACATAATTTCTACTTTAAATTTTTTTCTTGGTCAGGCATAGTGCTACATACCTGTATTCTCAGCTACTTGGGAGGCAAAAGATAGGAAGCTTGCAGTTTCAGGAAAGCTCAAGAGAAAAAAAAGTAACGTTAACAAGATCCCCATCTTAAGAAACAAGCCAGGTTTCAGGAAAAAAACAAAAATCAAAAAACAGGTATGATGGTTCATACCTGTAATCCTAGCTATGCAGGAGGTAAGTAGAGGATGGCAGTCTAAAGTGGGCTCTGGGCAAAAGCATGAGAATGTATCTGAAAAATAATTTACAGCTCAACCAGTAGAATGTCTTTGTAACAAACATGAGGCTTTGAGTTCAAATTCTAGTGCTAAGAAAAAAACTTTCTTTTGAACATGTGTTCAAAAAACAAGCTTTACATAAACATATTGTAATATTTAAAACAAAATGTTTTTCAGTTTGACAGAGTAAAGAACACTGTCAAAAAATTTCATACTGGAGAGGATAGATGAAGCAGTCTATAAATTACATCATAATCACGAATCTGGCACTTGGGCTAAGCTTTTTATAAACTCAATCTATCAATAACACTGACAAAAAAAAAATAGGCCGGGCACTGGTGGCTCACGCCTGTAATCCTAGCTACTCAGGAAGCTGAGATCTGAGGATCGTGGTTCAAAGCCAGCCCGGGCAGGAGAGACCATGAGACTCCTATCTGCAATAAACCACCAGAAAATGGGAAGTGGCGCTGTAGCTCAAGTGGTAGAGCGCTCGCCTTAAGCTGAAGAGCTGAGGGACAGCGCCCAGGCCCAGAGTTCAAGCCCCGTGGCCGACAAAAACAAACAAACAAAAAAAAACACTGACAAAAAAATAAACTCAGAGAAGTGACACTATTACTGTGTAAAACAAGAAAGAACAAGAGGGGAACCCAGTTCTATATAAATACACAGCACTTTCTCTCTCTCTCTCTCTTTACTCTACTGGCAGGGGGGCTGGGGATTGAACCTATGATGCTTATCCTCTACCGGAACTCACATCTCCTAACCTTCAAAGCACTTTCCCTACCCCACCCCTAATACTAGGGTTTTCATTCAGGCCTTGCACTTGCTAGGCATGCAATCTACCTATTGAGCCTCCAACCCTCATATTACTTTGTTTTGTTTTTGTTGGTCATGGGGCTTGAACTCTGGCCTTGGGCGCTGTCCCTGTGCTCTTCAGCTCAAGGCAAGCACTCTACTGCTTGAGCCACAGTGCCACTTCCCCTCATATTACATTTTATACTGAAATCTGTTTATGCTGCCTTAAATCTCATAACATGTAGGCTGTTTCAAGTGAAACATATATGAGGATCCCTGGGAATTTAGAATGAAGCCAAAGGGGGAAAATACACTAAGCCTTTGCCCTGGTGTAAGTAGATACAGAACGTTCCAACTGTTTCAATAACCTATTATATATATATAAAAGGTTATTATATATAAAATAGGATATATATCAGTTATATTGGTTATATATATTACCAAGTTTTTTTCCAAAAATAAATCCTTTTTGAACTTTGGTATTTATTTTCGTCTTTACCATAATCCTCATTATATAGGTTAAATTCTTTAATAAGGATATCATCAAGACTGAGATAGCACATGCTTAGGATGTATGAAGCTGTGGGCAGGGCATGGTAGCTCATGCCCAAATACTTGGGAAGCAGAGATAGGACAATAGAAGTTTGAAGCTAGTCTGGACAAAGTTAATGAAGTCCCATCTCAGTAAACAAGCCAGGTGAAGTGATTTACAGCTATAATCTGAGCTATTCGGGGAGGCATAGGTCTGAGACCAGCAAAGGCCAAAAATACAAGACTCTAAATGAAAGACAAAAGGGCTAGGGGAGCCAGGCACCAGTGGCTCATATCTAATCATAGCCACTCAGGAAGCTGAGTCAATCTGAGGATTACAGTTCAAAGCCAGCACAGGCAGGAAAGTCCATAAGACTTACTGACAAAAAAAAGATGTAGAGGTATGGCTCAAGTAGTAGAATATTAGCCTTGAGCAAAAAAGCCAGGCAAGTGCTCAAGGCCTTGAGTCCAACCCCCAGTACCAACACAAAAACTAAAAATTAAAGAAACCGGAGCTGGGAAGGTGGCTCAGTGGTAGAGCGCTTGCCTGGCATGCATGAGGCCCTGGGTTCAATTCCTCGGCATCACATAAGCAGAAAAGCCAGAAGTCACACTGTGCTCAAGTGGTAGAGCACCAACCTTGAGCTGAAGAGCTGAGGAACAGTGCCCAGGCCCAGAGTTCAGGTCCCATAACCAACAACAACAAAAACGGGCCTGGGGTATGGCTCATTTGGTAGAAAGCTTACCTAGCAAGCACAAGATCTTGAGTTCAGGGCTGGGAAGGTGGCTCAGTGGTAGAGTGCTTGCCTTGCATGCCATGAGGCCCTGGGTTCAATTCCTCAGCACCACATAAGCAGAAAAAGCCGGAAGTGGCGCTGTGGCTCAAGAGGTAGGGCACTAGCCTTAAGCTGAAGAGCTGAGGGACAGCGCCCAGGCTCAGAGTTCAGGCCCCACAACTGGCAAAAAAAAAAAAAAAAAAAAAGATCTTGAGTTCAAAAATAGTATCACTGGGGCTAAGAATGTGGTTTAGTGGTATAGTGCTTGCCTAGCACGCATGAAGCTCTGATTCGATTCCTCTATACCACATAAACAGAAAAATCCAGAAGTGGTGATATGACTCAAGTGCTAGAGTGGCTAGCCTTGAGCAAAAGGAGCTCGGTCGTGGGGCTTGAACTCTGGGCCTGGGCGCTGTCCTTCAGCTCTTCAGCTCAAGGCGAGCGCTCTACCACTTGAGCTACAGCACCACTTCCGGTTTTCTGGTGGTTTATTGCAGATAGGAGTCTCATGGTCTCTCCTGCCCGGGCTGGCTTTGAACCGCGATCCTCAGATCTCAGCCTCCTGAGTAGCTAGGATTACAGGCGTGAGCCACCAGCGCCCGGCAAAAAAATCTTTTTATATGGCCATGGAGCCTTCAGAAGTTCCCACTGTCTAAAATAGAAAGTTCCACAATCTAAGAATATACCTAAAACTTTCCCTAGAACGACTAGATCCACAGAGGAAATTACACATGATTCAGTATAGGCGTAAAGCTGTCATCAAACTTACTGATCGTTTACTGGATGAAAATGTGAACCAAGGCACTGGTGGCTCACACCTGAAATCTTAATTACTCAGGAGGCTGAGATCTGAGGATCACAGTTCAAAGCCAGCTAGGGCAGAAAAGTCCCTGTGAGACTCCTTTCTCAAATTAACTATTCAAAAACCAGAAGTGAAGCTGTGTTTCAAAGAGAATACTAGCCTTGAACAAGAGAGCTCAGGGACAGTGCCTAGGCCCTGAGTTCAAACCCCTTGAGCAACAACAACAACAAGAAAGAAAATATGAAGCAAAGCCTCTGGAAAGCAATGGTAAATAGCTTTAAGCCCCAAATCTCCTAAGAGTTTACAATTTAATGTTTGAGAGTCAGACATGGTATAGAAAACTTACATCCGTAGGCATTGTCCCATGCAGGTATGTTGATACATGCCTGTAATCCCATACTAGAGAAGCTAAGGCAGGAAGGTTTCAAGTTGAAGGCCACTCTGATCTTCATAGTGAATTGCAGGCCAGCCTTGGAGAAAATAAGACCTTGTCATAAGCAAACAAACTCCATATTTGGTCAGTGCTCCAATGCAATCAACATTTTTTCAAAAAACAAATGCATTACCCTTTACTTAAATCCTTCAATGTGAAGGACAATCATCTCATTTTTTGGGGGGGAGGGGAGAGTCCAGTCGTGGGGCTTGAACTCTGGGCCTGGCTAGCGCTCTACCACTTGAGCCACAGCGCCATTTCTGGCTTTTTTCTTTTTGCTTATGTGGTGCTGAGGAATGGAACCCAGGGCCTCAGGCATGCAAGTCAAGCGCTCTACCACTGAGCCACCTTCCCAGCCCCTTGTTTGTTGGTGGCTCATGTCTGCAATCCTAGCTTCTCCAGAGGCAGAGATCTGAAGATAATGATTCAAAGTCATGCCTTGCAGAATTCTGTGAGATTCTATTTCCAACTAGAAAAAAAAGCTGGACTAGAGGCATAGCTCAAGTGATAAAGCACTAGTCTTGAGAAAAAAAGAAAGTGAAAGTGAAAGCTTGAGGGCCTGAGATCAAGCCCCAGATAGAGAGAGAGAGAGAGAGAGAGAGAGAGAGAGAGAGAGAGTGTGTGTGTGTGTGTGTGTGTGTGTGTGTTGTGGGGCTTGACTCTGGGCCTGGATCCTGTCCCTCAGCTCCTCAGCTCAAGGCTAGCACTCTGCCACTTTAGCCACAGCACCACTTCCAGTTTTCTAATGATTATTTGGAGATAAGAATCTCACGGACTTTCGTGCCCAGGCTGGCTGAGAACTGTGATCTCAGCCTCCTAAGTAGCTAGTATTATAGCCAGGAGCCAACAGCACCAGCTTACCCTGTACTTCTTTAGAGCACTTATGACAGTCATAAGTCTTACATTTGTGTGATTATAAATTAGCTCTATTATGGACTATACTCTTGAGGCAGAGATTTTTAGGTTATAAGCCTTCATGTTCTGTAAAATGTTATAAAAATTTTTATACACATAATTCTAAACAGACTATGGTGGTAAATCCAGGAATAGCAGCATTTATCTACCTAAACATTAAGGCATATAAAGCATCTATATTGGATTGAGAATGTGGCTTAGTGGTAAGGTGCTTGCCTAGCATGCATCAAGTCCTGGGTTCCATTCCTCAGTACCACATAAACAGAAAAAGCCAGAAGTAGTGCTGTGGCTCAAGTGGTAGAATGCTAGGCTTGAGCAAAAAGAAGCTCAAGGACAGTGCCTAGGCCCTGAGTTCAAGCCCCAGGACGGGCAAAAAATAAATAAAATGAAACATCTATATTTAAGCAAGTTTATAATCATTGTAATCTTTTGTTTTAACCATAAAAATAGCTTTAAAGTTGATTTGCACATATTTGAAAACCATAAACAATGTGTGATACATAGCAAATACAAAATAACATACCTGTGAATAACAGCCCTATTCCTGATTAATTCATGTGTAAAGTGTAGTTCTCTTTTCTAACATTTGATTTATGTACAATTATTCCAATATTCTTTCAATCTGGTTACAAAGATTCTGAGAGGAATGAGAAATTGTTGCAATCCCAAGGCTATGAGTTCAATTCCCAGCACTACATTTGAGAGAGAGAAAGAAGACAGAGGGAGAAAGAGAGGAAGTAAGAAGGAGGGAAGGGAGATAGAGATAAAGAGAGGGTGTTTGGTGGCTCACACCTGTAATCCTAGCTACTCCGGAGGCTGAGATCTAGAATTACGGTTCCAAGCCAGCCCAGGCAGGAAAGTCCGTGAGACTCTTATCTCCAATAAACCACTAGAAAACCGGAAATGGCGTGGTGGCTCAAGCAGTAGAGCACTCACCTTGAGCTGAAGAGCACAAGGACAGGTACCCAAGCCCAAAGTTCAAGCCCCATGACCGACCAAAAAGAGAGAGGGGGGAGGGGGAGGAGGAGGGAGGATTGTTACATCTTGAAACTGGATGTGGTGATACCAACCTGTAATCCCAATATATAGGAGGATTAAACAGGAGAAGTATGAGTTGAAGGCCAGCCTGGGCTACCTAGTGAGACTCTGTCTCAAAAACAAAAACAAACCCAAAAGTTATATTTAAGGAGCATAGCTCAATGATTGACTATGTGCTTTGGATATACAAGGCTCAATGTACTGAGTTTAATTCCCAGAACCAAAAATAATTTTTTTTCAAAGTTACATTTTTGGTTATAATTTTAAGGTGACTATATCATTCTTGTCAGTTTTCCCTCCTACTTAATGTAGGCCAAATTTCCTCAGTTTTAAAAATATATGTGAGCCATTAAATGTATATTTAAATATACAGATACACATAATTTATATTAAAATGTATATTTTATTTCAGTAGCTAATGAACATCAATCAAACCATGGAAAGAAAACAAATGTTGTGGAGATAGACAAATCCATGGAGTGGTTTACAGGAAGTGAAGAATGAGATGGCTCAACTAAAGCAACTGGGAATTATTTACTACAATATACCAAACTAAACACAAGACATTGTCAAAGTGGGACATCCAAGTCGTTTTGTTATCTTTCTTTAGCTTTTGTTGCTTTTCAAATTTATATGTAAAAGTTATACAAATCATAGTAATAGCTAAAAATACCAACTTATGAAAGTGATTTTTCAATATGAAGTTCTAATTTGATAATTTTCCATTTTCAAATCAGCTGATGTCATCTGGAGCCTCAGTTGTGGTTTAAACTCCTTCAATGTGATAAGAAAAGCTAATTTAAGAGAGGAAAAAATAAGATCATAACATTAATAAAAAATATAATCTGATATGGTCTGAAAACCACTCACCTATATGACCAGTTTGCCAGTGGCAATACCGGGAAGGGAGCCATTGGAAAATTAGAATGTGATTTGTCCATTTTAGAACAAAATACATATAAGCTACATAAAATGTTTTATAATTTGTTAACAAAAACTGTTAAATATTACTGTTCCTTTAAGTTTTTCTCACAGTTTAAAACATTTATTTTGGAGCTATTCTGCAAGTTATTATATACAAATTTTTCAATGATTACAGTTACATTATGGTTTTATAACCAAATGGATAAGACCATATCATAAATCAATGGATATCAGAAAACATTTCACGGCCTAAATAATGTGTACATAGGAAAGACTTAAACTTAGTTCTTTGAAGAATTGTAGCAGCATTATAGGAGTTACTTCTTTTTTTTTGCAATAATAGTATTTGTATATTACATCTGTTAAACTAATCCTAAATCACCAATGTGTACGTAAAACGTCCTTTAAATTATTTCACATACCAAGCTCACAACAAATAAACTATGAATCATTTACAAAGGCTAGTTATCAGTTACCAGAATTTTACATAAAAGATAGGGAAAAGTCATTCATGATTCTGTCTCTTATACATTTTTAAGTTAACAGAATAAGTACTACATTCTGATGTCTACAGGAACAAAATACCCAAGGAAGATTTTCTTTTTACTATGTATTGCTCAGAATACTTAGGAACCACTCTATTATTGCAAACCTATGCATAAAATAAAATTGAAATCCACAAGGGTTGTTCTCTTGAAATTCTTTACCTTCAATTCCAATTTCCTTCTGAGAATATATGGTAAATCTATATTGTTTATAGGTTCTACTTTTTGAAAAAAAAATTCACTTTTTTGTTTTGCAAGGCAAACCAACCAATCTCTGACAATTACCTTACTTTTCACAGGAGAGAGCAAGTTCATAGGCAGGATTCCATCTAGAAGTTCAATAACCTGGGTGATGTGTTCAGAAAAGGGAAACATGTACTTCACATTTCTACTAAACTACTACTACCTTTCTATTTTAAGTTCACTACATACCTCTTACCCAAATATAAATTATAAATGTCATAATTAAATCAAGAGGAAGAGACTAAAAATGCAAGTTAGGAAGGAGCTTACAATCCTAGCTACTTAGGACACTGAGATCTGAAAGTCCCAGGCAGGAAAGTTCGTGTGACTCATACCTCCAATTAACCAGTAAAAAGCCAGAAGTAAAGCTGTGGCTCAAGGGGTAGAGTGCTTGCCTTGAGGGGGGAAAAAGTAGCTCAGGGACAGCACCCCATCCCTGAGTCTGAGCCCCAGGACTAGCATCAAAAAAAGAAAAAGAAAATTAGAGATAATTTCATCAATAGTAAGTTAAAAATCCAAATCCAGAGATCATTACTTGACATTACTGTTCACATTATACCTTTTAAGAAGTTTCTTCCAAGCCGGGTGCTGGTGGCTCACACCTGTAATCCTAGCTACTCAGGAGGCTGAGATCTGAGAATCGTGGTTCAAAGCCAGCCCAGGCAAGAAAGTCCGTGAAACTCTTATCTCCAATAAACCACCAGAAAACCAGAAGTGGCGCTGTAGCTCAAGTGGTAGAGCATTCGCCTTGGGCTGAAGAGCTGAGGGAAGCGCTCAGGCCCAGAGTTCAAGCCCCACGACCGCCAAAAAAAAAAAGTTTATTCCAAATTGTCACAAAAAAACATTAATGATATAAATGATTTAAGCAACGAAATCACTGAATTTGGGACATGTGCCAAAACAGTGTGTGTGTGTGTGTGAGAGAGAGAGAGAGAGAGAGAGAGCGCACGAGAGAGTGTGTGTGTGTGTGTGTGTGTGAGAGAGAGAGAGAGAGTGGGTGTCCTGGGGCTTGAATTCAGGACCTGGCTGCTGTCCTTGAGGTTTTTTGTTTTTATTTTGTCTAGCATTCCACCACTTGAACCACAGCTCTACTTGCAGCTTTTTGGTGGTTAAGTGGAGATACAAGTCTTAGGGACTTTCCTGACAGGGCTGACTTCAAAAGGCAATCCTCAGATCTTAGCCTCCTGAGTAGCTAGGATTTCAGGTGTAAGCCACTGGTGCCCTACTGCTTTAAGTTTTTATGAGATGACAACACCTTACTCCAGTACAAAACTAATATATTAGTCTGTTACTTGGCAAAACAAAAGTGTATTTAAAAACCACATTACAAGTAGGGTGCTGGTGGCTCATGACTGTAATCCTTGCTACTCAGGAGACAGATCTAAGGATTGCAGTGCAAAGCCAGACTGGGCAGGAAAGTCCATGAGACTCTTATCCCCATAAACTACTCAGAAAAAAGCTGGAAGTAGCACTGTGGCTCAAGTGTTAGTGTGCTATCCTTGAGCAACATGGACAGTGCCAGGACCAGAGTTCAAACCCTAGAATTGGCAAAAAAAAAAAAAAAAATTACAATGAAAAGGCTTGAGCTATTCAGGAGGCTGAGATTTGAGGATCGTGGTTCAAAGCTAGCCAGGGCAGGAAAGTCTGTGAGATTCTCATCTCCAGTTATTCACCAGAAAATCAGAAGTAGCACTTTGGCTCAAGTGGTAGAGAACTGGCCTTGAGCTGAAGAGCTCAAGGACAGTGCCCAGGGCCCACAAAAAAAACAAAAAACAGCACAACCCACTGGAACCTAAGCCAGCTTCCAAAACAGTGTCACCTAAACTGATGTCCAGCATCAGTACTATGATACTTTTGTTTCCTTTGTTGGTTGGGTGTCTCAGCCTCCTGAATAGCTAGGATTGCAGGCGTGAGCCACTGGCGCCCAGCAATACTATCATATTCATATCCTATAATTGAAACACGGTATTCATGGCTTGGTAATTATATACAAACACCTACTCTTAGCTACTACTGTTGGAGAAATTAGTCAAAAATTAAAAAATGAAGCTGGGTGCCAGTGGCTCACGCCTGTAATCCTAGCTACTCAGGAGGCTGAGATCTGAGGTTTGTGGTTTATTTAATAAGATAAGAATCAACTGGGGGGGGGGAAGGGTTGGGACTAGGGGAAGAGGTGAGAGGCTGGGAAGGGATGTGAAGGGTAAACAAAGGAGGAGGCTGCAATGCTTGGTAAGAAAGGTAGGCATTATCCTGCCCATGTAATTGTAACCCCTCTGTACAGTATGTTCACAAATAAAATAAAATAAAATATAAAATTAAAAAAATTTTAATACAAAAGACTTCATTTTTCCAGCTGTAAAATGGACCTAATAAAACTTGTTTATCTGGGAAAAATAAAAAAAAGAATCAACTAGAAAATAAAGCAGTGAATTAGAATAATATGAAAATCATGGTAATACATGTATTAGGAGTTATAAGAAAGTAAAAAGCACAATCACCTTAGCTTGGAAAGTGCAGAATTAAAGGTAATAATCACAATAGAAACAACTTAAAACCAAGCATATATAGAATAAACACAGCTTACCTATCTCAGAAGGAAAAATACATTTTTTTTGTTTTTTTGCTGGTCCTGAGGCTTGAACTGAGGGCCTGGGCACTGTCCTCTTTGTGCTCAAGGCTAGTGCTCTACCGCTTGAGCCACAGCTCCATTTCTAAGTTTATTGGAGATAAGAGTCTCATAGATTTTCCTGCCAGGGCTGGCTTCAAACTGAGATACTCAGATCTCAACCTCTTGAGATGCTAGGATTACAGGAGTGAGCTATCATTGCCTGACTTTTTTTGTTTAGGTCCAAAACTGGGACACAAACTCAGTTCCTGATGCTTTTGCTATCTGGCTAGTGCTCTACCAACTGAGCCACACCACAAACCCCAAGATAAACAGACGTACATGCCTGTCTAAAGCATTTGAACATGGCCTGGTAAGCCATGAGCATGTCACTGAGGAAACAAAAGCAGGAAATTCTGTCCAGAGGAAAGCTATTTTAAATAATTTAGAATTAGGATATTAAAGGGTCTAGGGATGTAGCTCAGTGGGGCAGCCCTTGTCTAACATGCATGAGGTTCTGTGTACAATTCCCAACAGTGAAGAACAAAGAAAAAAGGAATCCATTAGGGAACCAAATTGCCAAACACTGTAATTGAAGTTTTTTTTTTCTCTTTGTGTGTGCATGTACAAATTAAAAAAAAAAAAAAAAAAAGCAAAACAGGATGAGGGACAGTTCAGGTGATTGAGGCCTTGTTTTGTAAGTGTAAGGTCCTAAATTCAAAATCCCATACCACTAAGATAATAAAAAACAAGTACAGTTGGATTTCTGTGTAGAACCTCCCAATGGTCCTCCACAACAAATGGAAAAAATATATTACTTCCTCAACCGCCTATCTCTCACACCAGGCCCCTTACCTGACTACTAAGGAAATGCTTAGGTTTTTGTTTTTGCCATTGCTGGGGCTTGGATGCAGAGCCTCACACTCTTGCATAGCTTTTTCACTCAAGGTCAGTACTCTACCAGCTGCATTTCCACTTCCAGCATTCTGCTAGTTAATTGGAAATAAAGAGTCCCTCAACTGGAGTCTCTTACAGCAGGGTGCTGGTGGCCAAGACCTGTAATCCTAGCTACTCAGGAGGCTGAGATCTAAGAATCTTGGTTCAAAGCCAGCCATGCAAAAGGCCCTGAGAGACTCTAATTGTCAATTTACCACTCAAAAACCAGAAAAGGAGCTGTGGCTCAAGTGACAGAGTGCTAGTCTTGAGCACAAAGGGGCTCAGAGACAGTGTCCAGGCTGTGAGTTCAAGCCCTACAACCAATCAGAAAACAAAAAAAAGTCTCTTGGATTTGTCTGTCCAGGTTGGCTTGGAACCAGTATCCTCAGATCTCAGCTTCCTAAGTAGCTAGGATTACATGAGTACCTGGCCCACAATAGGATTTTTGTGAGACTCTTTTCAAAAGAACATTCTTGTCTTTAGGCCTTTCAAAGGCAGGCTGTCCCCTTATTTAGGTGTCTTATCAATTTTCATTCCTCAGAAACCTCTTCTAATCCTGACTTCAAGCATTTTCCTCCTTCTAGACACCCAGTTTAAAAAAAAAATGTCATTGCTCTTCTGTCTTCATGGTGTTTAACACTACTTGTAATGACAATTCTTGGCTGGGAATTTGGCTTGGTAGTAGAGTGCTTGGTGCCACACAATTTTTTTTTCTTTTTTATTGTGAAAATATTGTACAGAGGGGTTACAATTACATGAGCAAGATAATGAGTACATTTCTTATCTAGCATTGTAGCCTCCTCCTTTGTTTCCCCTTCCCATCCCTTCCCATCCTCCTCCCCCGCC